GGGGGGAGGGGGGGAGGGCCCGCCCCAAGCGGCTCTGAAGTGAACAGGGAGGCTGCGGGGCCGTGCCCCCTTGGATCCTGCGAGCACCTGTTCCCACCCTGTCCCCAGTGAGATGACACGGCCCCAGGGAAGGCGTCAGCAAGGGGACAAGGCCGAGGGGGGCTCGTGAGGGAGGGTCTCTCCAAGATCAGCTGGACCCAGGGGCGATCCTTGCAGCCACAGCTGCAAGTCACCAGCTTCTGAACTGGCTGGCGGGGGGCACAGATGTTGCCACAGATTGAACTGTGTCCCCCAGACACACGTGTCCACGCCCAACCTCCAGAACCTGTGACCTCCCTTGAACAGGACATAATCTCTGAAGACGTAATCAATTCAGAAGAAGGGACGTGGGAGCGAAGTGGCCATTGTCTCTTTAAGAGGGACACCTGGACACAGACACACAGCCGCTCACCCCCCGCAAAAGGAAGGAGAGAGGCTACACACAGAGGCGGATACAGGCATCAGAAAGCCCCCAGCCTGTGCGCCAGCCTTCGGTCGGCCCCGTGGGGCGCCCCCTCGTGGCCACAGCTCACGCTGGCCAGGAATTCTCCAAGAGGGTGGGGAGCCAGGACCACACAGTGTCCCCCCATCAAGGAGGCCAACCACCTGAGACATCTGCTGATGGTGGACGGGCCGCTAACGTCTGCCCACAACCCCTGCACCAGCTTGACAGCGAAAAGAAGGAGGATTTCTACCACAGGGCGACCTGTCTCAGTTTCTCTCCCTGCGCCTGAGCAAGGCCTCTTAGTTTCAGAATCACATACTGAGGTTTAAGAGCCCCGGAGTGAGGTTACCAGCTCTCTCTCATATCTTCGGGCCTCGGACAGTCCACAGAGAACAGTCGGTTCTCTTTGCTGATCTCTGGGGCAGCCAGGAAGGTCGTTCTGCCGGTGCCGAGGTCAGGAAAGGCCTTGTTCTGTTGCCTCAGATCCTGCACTGTCTACGCAAGAAGTGAGGTGAGCTTCCCCCACAAACGTAACAGACTGTCGGTGACAACTGGGTCAGTGATCTCAGCTGGCAGCCCGTGAGCTGAGCCCGCCACCCCGGTTCTGTGCTCCTATGCTCACCTCCCACAGGTATATGCTCTCTGTGATCCCTGCCAGAACATAGAGGCCATTGGGCGACGTGGTAAGACAGGTGACCGGTCCGGGGCACATGATCTTCTGCTGAAGCTGGTCCTAGAGAAAGAAGCTTCTGAGTTTCATGACCGATGAGGGAGCAGGGGGAAGCGAGGCGAGTGGGAGGGGCACCCAGACAGCTGGTAAGTCCAAAAGGACCAGAAAGAGGAGTGGGGACAGGGGTGGTTTGACCAAATCCATGGTTCAGGAAGGGGGGTATTTGCTCCAGCTGAGGCTTTGCAGGGCGGGGGTGGAGGTGGAGGCCTGTGGATTCTCCTGAAAAGCAAGACAGCGCTGCAACTCCCCGTGCTCCCA